GGGCGAGCCATGGACGGCGGCGGGGCGCCGCCCGCCCTGGAGAAGAACGCGGCGGAGCTGACGGTCATGGACGTGTACGACATCGCCTCGGCCGTGGGGCAGGAGTTTGAGCGGGTGATCGACCAGCACGGCTGCGAGGCCATCGCCCGCCTCATGCCCAAGGTGGTCCGGGTGCTGGAGATCCTGGAGGTGCTAGTGAGCCGCAACCACATCAACCCCGAGATGGAGGAGCTGCGCCTGGAGCTCGACCGCCTGCGTCTGGAGAGGATGGACCGCATCGAGAAGGAGCGAAAGCACCAGAAGGTGCGGGCGGGGGCCGGGGGGACGCGGCGGGGCAGGGCTGCCCCCGCCTGCCGCAGCCGCCCTGGGGGAAGCCGGGCTCCGGCCCCCCCGCCGCCGTTCTCCCCCCGCCGCCGCCGGGAAAACAAAGAGCGACGCCGGGGTGCGGGCCGGGATGCCGCGGAGCCGCGGGAGCGGGCGGGGCACGCGTGCGGTACAGCCCGGGCGGGCTCACGGGCTCGGCGCGGATGCTGCCTTAGCGTCGCTGAGGCTTTGGGCGTGTTGTTGTTTTTTGTTTCCTTCCCTCCTGGAAGTTTCCTCCCTCCTTCCCTTTCTCCACCCCTTCCCCCAGTCACTGCATTTCCTTCCCCTGTGTCTCCGCGGTTAGGACTCCTGCTCCATCCCCTCTCCCGGCGAGAGGACAGTGCTGCTTCCTGCTAGGCCAGGAAAGGTCACTGACAAGAATATACTTTACTCTCCAGAGCTGGGAATGATTTTGCAGTCTAGTTTTCCTGGCACAGACTTCGGGTTAGGCAAGTCATAAGCGAGAGATGGAGAACCGAGTGATTTCAGAGAGCAGAGCTAGAGCTGAAGAGTAGGGAAGAGCGCTCTGCCGGAATGCTGCTCTTATGGCAAGATGTGCATTGACTTGTTCTGGGGTGGTCATAGCATTCCCTGACCCCACTCCCATTAAAGCCCAAGGCAGAGAGCATTTCCCATACCCTGTTATTGCAGGACAGCATGCTCCAGTTACTGCAGTAAAAGTAGGAGATCTACTCTTCAAACTGTCTAGATAACTGATGTAAGAAATGTTTCTTCTGGTAAATGACTGTGCTAAATCATCACTGCTGCCTCATGCCGTTCCTGATTCCACACACAGAATCAGGATAAACAGGAGACAGGGGGTTTCTGGAAGAGAGACCCCAAATTTCAAGGTTTGGCTCAACTGGATAAATCCCTGTTTTATATTTTAAAAAGAGACAGCTAAAGGACTTCCACCTAGCATATGGAAAATCCAGGATTAACCCTGCAACATTTTGCAGAGGGAGTCTCAGGGCAGTGTCTGAAAAGGAAGATAAAAGACATTTAATGTACAAAGCCTTGATAAGGCTCAGGAGTATGAAAAAAGAAGGTCTAGAGAATAGATACAAATATGCTGGATATTTACCAAAGGCTGCATGAAGTGGATACTGAACCGACCCAGTGTCATTGTACAAGTTGTTCTGTGTAGATGTTTCTGAAGTTCTTGTAAGTATTAAAAAGTTTCCTGAACATGTCAGCTGATCTCTCTGCCAGTCAACCACCTCTGCTCTGCTCTGTCAGCTTCTCTGAGGGTCATCAAGTGGCTCAGGGAGTGTTTAAACAATCTACTTCATTCTAAACAGATTTTAACAGGAAAATAAACTGCATAATACATACCATTTTTTAATCATGCTGGTTCCTAGTTCACCATGTCCCTATAGAACTGTGGTCTCACATCTCTGTTCCAGTGTGAGGGTTTGAAGACTCTTTCACAGGAGAGGTGTCTGATAAGCAGAAAAAAATAGATACTGAGAAATAGTTTTTGACCTCAAAGCCTCCAAAAACCACCCAGAAAAGCTTTTAGTGGTCCTTGCAAGCATCAGTTAATGAGATTTCAGCACTTAAACTTTATGTGGGAATCTGTTTTACGTGTCCTCTGGCTCAGCACCCACTGCCTGGGGCTTCCTGAGCTGCCTGGCCCATGGATGTGCCTCCCCTGTCTGGAACTTCCGTTAATGAGGACTCAGAAGTTAATTTCTGCTCCAATTCATTGGGCTCTTCAGTAGCAGTAAAATGACAAAAGTTTGCCCAGGCAAACCTTGGCATAGCTGTGTGTTTACAGTGCAGCCACATATAAGTGATATAAGTTTAGGTTGTTTGGGGGTTTGTGTGCATTCCATTTTGGTTTTATCAATATGCTTGTAAGTGATGAATGTGCTGGTTTATTGCTAAAATAGGTCACTGCGTTATTTTAGCTACAGAGTTGTAGCAGGCAGCATCACTGTAAATAGTCCAGGTTTTTGGAAATATCAATTTCATTACAGATTTACTTTTCTCTCAAGTTAAAGAGTTTCAGGTAAAATAGGTGATTAATGACAATTTCTTTCCTTTTTAATAATTAGCTCTGCATAGCTTACCACACCTCTGCTATTTATTATTCTTTGCCACATAATGTTTTCTGCAACACTTTTAGCAGCAATACAGTAATAAATGCTGGAATAAAATGGCATTTGGACCCAAAAGTCACCAGGAACATGAGTTCACATTATCAGAGCATTCATTCAAAGCAGAGAGCTATCCTTTAATCTCTCAGCAGAGTTTATTTTAGCCTCGAGCTGTGCTTGGCTGGGTTGTTGTCTGAATGTGTTTTGTCGTTAGGTAGGAAAGGGGCATGTGGATGGATGTGAAAGTCAGCGGTGACTCAGCCTGGCTCCAGGGATTTGCATGCAGCTTTTTGTTTGAAGAACATAAGTGAAAATGGAGCAGGGAATGCCCCCCACTGCAGAAGTGAGATATAGAAAAGCTTTTGGAACAAGCAAGGCTCTAAATACAACTGTTTTGCTTGAGGATGTTTTACTTTTTGTCCTGACTTGACCTTCATGAGGATTGGTGACAGCTGCTCTTGACACAGAGTGTCCCCACAAATGGGAGCTGTTTTGACTGGCCTGGCTGCCATGGCACAGACACCACCCAGGACATTCCAAGAGAACAATTTACATAGGAAGCAGCAGGGTTTGGGCTTGTGTTCACCACATGCGCCAGGAGCTCTGGCTTTGCTGAACTGGATCACACACTCATCAATTTACATTTGTGTTTCATAACAGGAGTGTAGCCCAGGCTGTTCTGTCAGAATGAGCATGTCCAGCCCTGAGTTCCTGGCCCTTGCTCTGGGATGCTTTGGGGGCTTTCTAACAGCTTTCCTGGGATGCAGGAGGGAATTGGTGCTTGTGTTTGGTTCTTTTTCTAGCACAGCTGCATCCTTAACCTTGTCCTCCCATCAAAGCAAGGCATAAGGAGCCATCCTTTGGGTAACTGGCATGTCAAAAATGTTTGCATCAGGAATGATCCCCTCAGGTATTTACATTCAGCATATAGCAAAGGGGACTGTGGTGGCTGATTTCCTGGTGGTGGCATTAGAAAAGCAGATGTCTTCTAAGAAACTCAAAGTACTCTCATTTAATTGTTTTCCATAAGAATCAGTAGGATCATTACTAGTTTGATCTGTAAATGGTCCAGGCAAAGACTCTTAACATATTTTAAAATGTGTTGTCCTGATCTACCTTGTAGGAATTAGAACTGGTGGAGGATGTCTGGAGAGGAGAAGCACAGGATCTTCTTACCCAAATTGCACAGCTGCAGGAGGAGAATAAACAACTGATGACAAACTTGTCTCACAAAGACATTAATTTCACAGAAGAGGAATTTCAGAAGCATGAAGGCAAGTTTGCTACTTCAATTTCAGTCCTTGCTTTCTTACAAAAAGAAATACTTTATCAAAATACTTTGACTGGATATTCTGGTGTGGTTTTTCCTTGTAGATTAATTCAGATCTGGGTTTTGAAGTCTTGTTTGCTTATTTATTTTTACTTTTTTGTTTGGCTGAGAAGCATCTCTGGAAGTAAAGTCTAGATACACCTTTTGGTCTGTCACTTGTTTGGGTTCTCAATATTTTGTTATTCTTCAGAATAAAATATTCTGAAGCCCTCCTTATGTTTTTTTTTAACACAAACAGAATAATCCATTCAAGTGTTTATTTCACACATTATGCACAAAACCAAGGGCAGGTAGATCTCACTGCAGCAACTGAAACAATTGCCAGTCTCGGCTCTGACCCACAGCTCAGCCAACAGCTCTTTCCCAGGAGCAGAGGAATACATGTCCCTTTGCTCCACCATTCCCAGCAAAGAATTCAAGGTTGTGAGATCCCAACTCCATTTCCCAATGTCCTGACTGAGCAGTCTGAAAGCAGATCACACACAGCTGAGCCATCACAGCTCTCCAGTGAGCATTAGGAATGAAGGGATTCCTTCTCCAGGCTCCAGAGGCTGGGATTAAATGGAGGCTTGCTGGAGGTGAATGAAACTGTCCAACATTGTGGAAGTTCCACTTGCTCTCTCCCTGAGGCTCAGTGCTGCTCACTTGCACTGGGGAAGAGTACAATGAAACCTTCAAAAAGTAAAAATTGTTAAGCCTCTCAAGATACTTTTAACAACAAATGCAATGCTTTCAATTTAGGAGTCAATTAGTGGCAAAGAAGTAGCTCAACATCAGGCTGACAACCTCCATGCAAAATTCAGAATGGCAGTAATGAGTCATGGACTATGAAGACTGACATTGTGTTATAAAGAACCAGCTTCCCCTTTCTTTTCTTTTTTTTTTTTCCTTCTTTTTTTTTCCCTTCCAGTGGCTATCTAGCTCACTGCAGCTCATGTGCTTGCATTTAAATATAGCCATACTCTTCACATCCAGCCAGCCAAGCAAATGCCAGACGTGCTTTTCTTGTTATTTTTACTGTCTACCCATGTATGACAACACAAACAAAACCTATAAGCCCATTCCAGAGCTTAGATTCTGAGATCACTGATATTCTTTGTCCAAAACATTCAGTTTAAGTGAAATCTTTAATTTATATCAACCCCATTTAATTATTGGGATCTATAATATCAAACCCAACTGGTTTTCTTTTAGGACATATTGTCATTAATGAGCAGGGATAGATTTGTCTCAAATTACTTGTTTGGATAGTGTCAGAAAGCAGTTCTGCTGTTTTTCAGTCTCTGATGTAGAGTCCAGAGAGGCAGGATTTCATGCTCAATACTGGACTAATTATTATAATACTGGACAATTAGCTGGACTAATTTTGAGCAGACTCCAATGCTCCTATCTGAGCATGGTTTAGCACTGTGATCGTGTCTCCCCTCAGCGCTGGCCCCGGGGATCAGCAGCTCACTGCTTACTCACCAGACAGGGAGAGGGGTTATTTTACACAGGCAACTGAGGCCACTGATTTGGGTGTGCAAGACCTTGAGAGTCAATCTTGCCAATTAACTCTGAGAGCCTCATTTGAGCATGATGAAGTTTTCGTGGGAGAGGCAGAGGCAGTCCTGTGCAAGCAGGAGTGTTCTGTGCAGTCTGAGCAGAGCAGGGTTCGTGTGGAAGGACCTGTGGGAGAGCACAAAACACAAGGGAGGGGTTAAAGATGAGCCTGTAACACCCATTAATGCGACTCCTCCCTTGCACAGAGCACTGCTTGACTGCTGACTGATTGGAATATCCTAGGAAAATGCCACATGCAAACTTGACCCAAGTGTGTCAAACAGGACGAGCAGGCTGCTGTGCCACTGAAGGGGAGCTGCTGTCTCAGCCTGGCTGTGGGAAGGGACAGGCAGCAGGATGGCAGCACTTGTGTGACCCTCCTGTGCTGCAGGACCTACAGTTCCCTTCAACAGAGGTGTTGAACTTGTTTTGAGTATTTTGGTAATGGTGCCACAGGTTCTGCCTGGCACTTGGCCTGTAGTGATAGATATAGTATGGACACAGCACTGAACAGATCATTAAACATAAAGAATGTTATTTCCCGCCCCCCCCCCCCCCCCCCCAGTTTATTTCTTTCTTTTTTTGGTGTCCTCCCCTCCAGCTGCTTTCCTTTCTGTTGCTGGAACAACACCAGGATCACAGCAACCCACAGGAAGCTGCTCATAGGATGTGTCTGGGGAAGCTGGCTGGGTGTGCCATTTAAGATCTTACAGTTATTAGAGTTTGAACCATTTAGAGATAATTATTTTACATTTAGGGCACTTAGTGATTTCCCTCTCCTCTCTCCTAGTGCCTGAGGAAATGGCAGGAGATGTGACTGTTTCACAAAATTCCCCACCTTTCCTTTCCCCCCCCACTTCCTGAAATAAAATTTGTAGTGATCTGTGCACACAATTGAAGCCTTTTAGGTTCACCAAATGTTAGCAAGAAAAATGAGCACAGTGGGAGGAAAAGTAGTCAGCACTGAATGGTACTTTTTCTTTAAATAGCACCTGCTATCTAGAGATCTCAAAGCATCTCACAACTACTAATGGATACAGCTGCATTCACCAGTGCTACCTCTTCACCAGTCTAAAGTTTCACAGCAGTCCCTCTACTTCAGGGCAAAGTTTTGGATTCTTCTGGTTTTAAATACAGTTGATGATACAGCCCTGAGACTGGCTGCAGTGAGGGGATCCAGGAGCCTGCAGAAGTTTGTGAGTGCAGAGAAGTACCAGACCTGTGTTGTGGTAGAGGAATGTGGATCTTTTAGAATAGTTAAGCAGCAGTTTGTGTTTGTGACACTTGTTCTCCCTGGTGGGTATGAGCTGGTACCACACCAAAGAATTAAAATTACCCTGTGAAGAGCTAGAACCCAGAGCAGCACAGAGCTGATAAAAACCAGGGTCCAGAAATAGAGCAGGCAATGTACCACAGAATTAAAAGGGAAGAGAAGGTAATACTAGACTGTGAACACCGTGTCACTGGCAGTTCTTTTCTGGGGTTTGACAGGAACACATCCTGTGAACCAAATCCCTGGCCAGCCTGACCACCAGTCCTTTTCCCAGCAGAGCAGTTCCCTGTTCTCTGCACAACCACAGCTCTGGTCCTTTAGCACTGAGGATTGGAGCTGCTGTTCCCCCTGTTTGCTCTGCTCCACTCCCTGCATGGGAGTCCACATCCACCAGTTACTCCCTTTCCTTCTCTGAGGTTTGTCCTGCTCTATTCTATCATCCATCAGTTCATTCTGTAGCTGACCTGTGAGCTGGAGTTCCTAAAGACATGCAGCTAAATTCTCTTATGGGAACAACTCTGGATTTCTCTGATGAGGGAAGAACAAAACCAGAAAGTCTGAGCTGATGTTGGAAAGTAGAGCCTTTCCTGGCTGGATGCATTTGATGCATAAAGATACATATTTCTGATGTGGGAGCTGCTTTAATATATTAAAAAGGAAGCAACTTTCCAGCCACCCCAGAGTGGGGAGTGAATTAGCACCACTTGCAGTTCATAAATGGAAGAAGCTGAAGACCCACATAACAAAGTACTTTGCCAAAATTAGTAGAGTTAGCAGCAGACCCTGGATTTGAGCTCCTGCTTGGGCTGGATTTTGGCCAGAGGAACCACACACTGCCCTGGTTGCAGGGTTTTTCATCTTCAAGGATGTTGTGCAAGGTGATTTCATGTGATAGTTCAGGACCATCAGACTGCACATCTCTGTGCCATCTCAGGGAAGGTCAGGGCAGGAGGTTCATCATCTCACTGAGTTAAAATCTCTGGTCTGTGTCTGCTCTCAAAAGCCCATCACTGCAGTGCCAGGTCCAAGTTATCTCTGCAATGGCAAATAGAAGAATGCTTCCTGTTTTGTGGTTTATGACATTTCCTAATGATTCATTGGTCAGATTTAAGGTGAATCTAACCCATTCTTTATTTTCAGACAGGATCAGTGTTGTGTTCTTGGCAATGTTCCAAACTCCTTTCACCAGTGAAATGCTATGAAGTATTTTTTTTCTCAAGTACAGTTACTCTAAATATGAATTACCACACAATAGGATGGGAAAAGGGTGGCAAAACATGAGGAGAAAATATGTGACCATAATTCAAACTAAATTTTGGTTCTGCATTCAGGGTGGGGGTACCCTCTGAAGGTCCTGTTTAATTTTCTTTTCACCAAACACAAAACTGGATTTCAACTAAAAATCAGTCTAGTTCAGTGCTCCTCCGCTGGTTTGGATCCAGATGCAATCCACAACAGTGATATGTTGTTTACATCTTATTGAAGATCCAGACCATCTTTTTTACAATTTTCACAAGGCCTTGGCCAGCTGATTCCAGAGACAATCACAGAGATAACCAAGCTCCCTGGGGCATGGTGTGAACGTTGATGTAAAACTACTAAGGCAACAAGATGCAGCACTGTCACTCACTGTTATAAATGTTTCTGAGGACTGTCAGTTCCTTTTTTAAGGAGTCTCTGTGCAGTGGCTTTATGGAGTGGATTCTGTCATCAGTGTTCTCTGTTACCCTTGAAGTAACCTCTAAAGCATCTCTGTAATTCTACCAGCAGGCAACTTCCAGAGTCTACTTAAATATTTCTCATTGTTATTGTTCTCAGCCTCAGCAGCTCCTGACTGTCCTTAGTTTGTGTTCTATGTTTTGTTTTTTTTTTTAACCAGGGATGTCAGAGAGAGAGCGGCAAGTCATGAAGAAGCTGAAGGAAGTGGTAGATAAACAGAGGGATGAAATCAGGGCAAAGGACCGGGAACTTGGACTTAAAAATGAGGATGTAGAGGCTGTAAGTGGCTCTTGGTCTTCCTATTTCTCTTCTTTTTCACCCACTCTTCCATAGCCTGGTTTTGAGTTTAAAGTAAATACAGAAAGTGTAAAGAGTGCTGGATTAATAGTCCTGCAACTGAAGTGTCCAGCAGAGCTGTGGAGTGTGCAGAATGGTCAGGCTTCAGTGCAGTCCCACACCAGAGGTGCAGTGTGCATCACTTCTGCATGAGAAGGGCACTGCTCAGCCCAGGCCACCAGCAGTGACCTGTTCAGGCTCAGCCTCAGATGAGTCACAGACTCCGCTGTGACTCCAGGCATGACATGAGGTTTGGCACTTTCTGTGGAATGACCTGCTTACCCATATTTTGCTTCCCATTCCTCACTCTGCCTCATGTCCTTAGGCCGTGGGACTTTCCTGGCCTAGGTGATCTCTGCTCTGTCCAAGTGCCTCTGGCAGGTACTGCAGCCTTTCGAGTTGGGGCTGTCCACACACACCCAGCAGGTCACATCCTGTCTTAGGAGAGACCTTGGAGCTCAAAGCAAAGGGCTTATAAACTGAACACTAAGGATTCCTCTGTCTTGTCTTTCTTCTCCCCTGGGTTAAGATTTGATTCAGAATCCCATAAGGCACCCTATCCTCGAACTAATATCAGAAATGATGGATTTGCTTTTATCTGAAAAACTCCCTGTGCGGGGGAATTTACTCTAGAAATCAATTAAATTTGGGTGACTGAAATTGTAGTAGATAATTAGATATTAGAAAAACTAATCTGGGGGTGAGGAGAGGGGGGGAAATTTTTCAGATTAAATGCAACAGGAACCCACTACTTTAAGATGGTGTTTGGGACTGCGCCATCGTGGCTGAATGGATCCTGAGCTCTTGCATGGATGTTCTGCAGCTTCAGCAGCAGCAGAACAGGTTGATGAAAATTAACCACGACCTGCGGCACCGGATCACGGTGGTTGAGGCCCAGGGGAAGGCGCTGATTGAGCAGAAGGTGGAGTTGGAAGCATATCTGCAAACCAAGGAGCAGGAGATGGGCAGCCTGAGAGCAGAGCTGGGGAAGCTCAGAGAAAAGCTGCAGGGTGAGAACACCCAGGCCAGCCAAAATGGGGAGGAAGTAAAGGTAAGAGGCACTTTGAATCATTTTTTTAAACAGCCTTTTAAAAAGCTTTGGACTTCATACCAAGTACCTCTTTGCCTTTTGGCAGGGCTGTGGTATGTACACACCTACCCCTTCCCCCAAAGGAAAACAAACCAATTCCTTGGAGAGTCTGGGTTTTCCAAAGACAAACAGCCAACAGTAGCTTCAGCTTTGCCAGATCTGCAAATATTCAAGGCCAGATGGGTCACAGGGGTGCACGGGGGTGACAGTGGCAGATGAACCACAGTGGAACAGAAACTGTGCCAGAAGCAGTTCCAGAGTCAGGGCAGAGTTCTGCACACCTGGTCCCTGCAGTGCTTATGGCACTTTGGATCAGTCAGGACTAAGCTGGTTAAGTGCTACCAAATCAACATATAAATATTTCAAGGCACTTTTTTAGAGGAATCAACTTTGGCCTTATTTCTGCTTTTGCTTCCTATTAGAATTTGTGCAGTGAAGTGTTGTGAGCACAGATGTTTGTGAGAAGCAAATGTTCCCGCTGGCAGAGCCAGGCTCTTGCAGAACAGGCAAAGTGACAGTCTGCAAATGAAGCTGGGCTGAGATCAGAGCAGCAGGAATGCAAACCTGAGGGGAGCTTCCTGAGAAAAAGATGCACTGATCTGTTTATCCCTTAGTCCTCTTTATGGTTCCTGGTATTTTTCTTTGTGCCTATAACATTACTTTTTTATTCTTGAAGCAAACATACTGCATTTCTTTCTCCTAATGATGCTCTTACCATCCTTACTCTAGATCTAGTAGATTTACTACTCTTTGAGTAGGAAATGCAATAAGGGGTGTCGTGATATTTAAGAACTGAGAGGAGTTCTGTCACACAGAGTTGTTCAGCTTGATGCATTGGTAAGAGCTCCACGGTGTAAATGCCTGACAGACTGCAGCAGAGAGTGAAACATCCACTGAAACATCCATTTCACTGGCAACAGGCAGGAATACACATCAAAAAGCAGAGACAAGTGCTGATGAGGTACCTTGGTCCCCTGGGAATGTGACAGCCAGTGTTGTCATGTCACTGCCGAATGGGCAAGCACTGTATTAATAATGAAAAGGATTATTTCATTGCTGTTAATTCAGGATACCCAGCTTTGTAAACGGGGCTGGGGAGCCCAGGCCTGGAGCCAGCAGGAGTGAAAGTGTCCTCAGTGTCTGCAGAGAAAGGATGCATTCTTCACCTCTCTCCAACTCATCAGTTCCATGGCAATGGCACCTCTTCTAATTAGAGCCGTCCCTGCTCCCCGTGCCAGGGCACTGCTCACACAGGAATTGCAGTGGCAAGCAGAAAGCTGGAATAGCTGCATGCTCCAGAATGGACATTGCTTGTTGGCCTCAGTCAAGGACATTTGCATCGAGTACAGGCTGCTCAGTCTTTGCTGATTTGAGCCAAATCTAGCAAAAATAGCTTATTTGGGCAGAGATGTGGGGCAAATATACAACCAAAAGAAGAGACACCAGCTCAGAGCTATATCTAAGGGGTGAAGAGGAGGAAAAGTGTTTGGCTAATTTCCTTTGAGCCTCTAGTAAGGTTGCATCAATCTTAATTCCATGTAGTCTGTGCAATGGAACGTGTTTGGATGAAAAGGGTGATCAAACAGTGCCCAAGTGAGCATCACTCCACTGCCTCATCCCTGCAGGACAGGCACTGAAATTCACCTGAAATTCACCTTGCACCAGCCTTAGCCAAGTTCAGCCTGAAACCACGGATCAGTGTATTGCAAAACCATTTCACAAACACAGCAGCTTAGAAGAGGATAAGGTCAGGGTTACAAATAATGGACTGTGTAGGAATTTCACTACTCAACTCCTGAAATTTCCAGCTTGTATCCCACCAAGCTGTCACTGCCACACAGGAGCTCTGAGACTGATCTCTGCATCCTCCCAGGAGGGCGAGTGGCTGATCTGGCTGCTGGCAGCTCTGATTTCATGTGCTGGTTTCTATCAGTCCTTGCAAAAAGCATCACATTTCAAATGGACTTTGCTACATTTCAAATGTATTTCCCTGGAACAGAGTGTCCTGCATTTACTTGTATTGTTATAAATCCTGCAGACCTCTTAAGGTTTGCAGCTGCTTTTCAGAATCTCAATTCCAAGTACCCTTCCCAGACCTTGTGATTTTTCATCATTTCTGTGCAGCCCCTGAGTGGAACAACAGTACAGGACCTGAGCAATGGTCTCCTGTGTGCAGTGCTTACACAGACCATGTTTTCACAAGCAGTTTGTGCCACAGAGTTCTGAGCAAATGCTAGAGGAGACAGGAAGCAGCCCCACAGACCTGGGAATCAAGACTCATACCTAGAGAGCAAATTCTGGCTTGCTGGGAGCCACAGAAACTGGGTGGTGGGAGATAAAACTCCTCCAAGCTTCCAGTGAACTCTTAGAGGAAAAGAAGAGGCAAGAGTGCAGGTGTATAAACACCTCATCTGCAGTTTTCTGCCACTATGTAGCCAGATCTGGTGCTAACACCCCTCCTGGTTTTTAATGAAAGCATAAGTGGGGATAGAAACTTAAATCTCCACTTTTTATATTACATTATAAGAAGACACCTCTTTATGGGAAGAGCTGGAAGGAAGTGCATAACCTTTTCAGTGTTAATATAAAAAACTGATGTTTGGTTTATTCGATTTGTTAAAATTATGAATTCCTAAAACTGACTTATCAAAAATTGGACATTTGAATTGGATGGTGAATTTAAAGCCCACATTTCATTCCCTAGGCAGAACCAAACAATGATGATTGTCTCTCTGAGTCAGAAAAGATGGCATTGGACTTAAAAGATCCCAATCGCCCAAGATTCACCCTGCAGGAGCTCCGGGATGTCCTTCATGAGAGGAATGAACTGAAATCTCGAGTGTTTCTGCTTCAAGAGGAGCTTTTATATTACAAAAGGTGGGTTACATCTCCTCTCCTGTTGAATGATATGCTCAGGGGAGCCACAGGGCAGGTTTAGAAACAACAAATGTGCTCTGAAGTTCTGTTCAAATTTGTGTTTCTGCACAGGCTTGTGCAGAGACTGCAGGAATACAGCCTCAGTTTGAACCTTGAACCTTGTCCTTCCTAACTCCCAGGTCTGCCCTGAATCCTAGAAAGATTACAAACATTTAATACATTTGAATTTCAAAAATGAGGATAGGAGTGGGTCTAAAATGAAACTTCTAGACCTTTTATTCTATCCATTCCTCTTCTCCCTCTCCTTGTTGCAATGGGAAGAAAATATTGAATGGAGACCCAGTTCTAGGTGCTGATCCTTGGTTGATAAAAAAATCTTCAGTTGATTTGAATGGGTTTTGAACAGATCTTTTTGCATTCCTTCATCAACAGTGCTACCTCAGGTTGAATTGTAGATCTCAAAGTGCTTCCATGGCTTGGGAGGAGAACATTAATTATCTTTTCTTTCTTTCAAGTGAGGAAATGGAAGAAGAAACTAGATCCCCACAGCCAACACCCATAATTCAGCCAAAACCCTCAACTCAGCCTGAATCTGGAATCAAACGACTGTAAGTAGCATCTTTATTAAGCATACTGGGTATAGTCTGTAAATACCAAATATTTCTTATGCATAGGACTATTTTAAAGACTTTAAAAATTTAGATAACCACATTCCTACTGTATATGAGAGAGACACTGAATGAGCACTTGGCAGATGTGGAACAACTGCTGGTTTTAGCCAAAACTTTTGCCTAGATCTGGGACAACTTTCAGTCTTGAATTATCATTTTCCCATGACCTCACTGTGCCAATTTCCCTGTTGACTGAAGCCTTTAGACCCTGACTTGCACTACGTGGGCAGCACAAAAACTTTCTGTTTGCTGAGCAAATTTGCAGCTGAGAGGATGGGCACTTGTTTGGCTAAAAGAACCACACCTGTTTTCTGAAATCTTAATGCTGCTGTTGGAACCAAAGCTTGTTGTCAGAGATGTGCTGTTACTAGTTTATCACTTAAGTATGAAATCACTGTGTTGGCCAGTCTTTTTCTCTGTTGAAACTCCCTCCTGTGCATTTATATATTCCAAATTAAGTCTTCTAATCTCATAGCAACTCTTTGGTATTTTTGTGATACTGGGAGCTTAACATTTTTAACTGCATAGGTGATTTTGGAACAGTTGTTTCCATATAAAGAGCTCTTCCATCCTGTCCCCACATCCACAACCTTCAGTCCTTGTTCAATAACAGCCCTGAGTGAGAGTAAATTCCATAGGAAGATTTGGACTGACCCAAAGCACCATGAAGTCAGGAGGGCATTGTTGATTATTTGCAGTAGACTGCAGCTTCTGTCTGTGCTGAGAGAACCTTTCCTCTCACATGAGTAGAAAATATGAGTTTGGACTTCACTTTTCATTCTGCAGCTGTGGTGATGATGATGATGATGATGATGATGATGATGATACTGTGTCGCACAAGATCTTCACTGTAAAGTTTCTCTTTTCTTTTACATTTCTTTTAGAGCTTTTTTAAGCAAATTCTGTTGTAGGGAATGGTTGGTTTCAGCTCACACAGTTTGTGTTGTGCAGCTTCCATGTTTGATTTGAAATGGTGCCTTTGATGAAGCAAAGGCAGCATAAAAATGTAAATAGAGGTTGTAAAGCAGAGCAGGTGTTGGTGAGGTATTAGCTTTGACTCTGCCTAAGCTGAAATTACTTCTTTTAGATGTCATGCTCTGTCCCCAGGTTTCACTCTGCTCTCTCTCCACTTAGCCATCATGTTAAATAAGGGAATATAAAACTGTCTACCAGAGTAATTTGAAGGATGGTAACAGTTTTCAGGTTTGTCTCATTCTTGCAGCCTGTCTGGATAGGATTTCTATCTAGGGGGTTTTATTTTCCTTCCCTCCTCCCCTCTCTGTGTGTTGTCAACACTGTATTTGTAGTTGGGCTTTAAGAAGTCAGGAAATGTCACTGCTGGGCAAACCAAAGAAGCCAAGTGTAGCTTCTGTCCTGTCCCAGCACCCTCCTGCCCCAGCTGCAGTCCCTGCCTGCTGCAAGGTGTCTCCAGAGCTCCCTTCTCCCTCTCCAGGGTCCCTCTGGCTGCCTGGGGAACACTCTGGCACATGAACTCTGTACCCAGTGATGTCATGAAAAACTTGCAGCGCTGCTTTCTGCATGCAGAGTGCCTTTACAGAGGAAAAATGGGTTTGCTTTTCCCTCTCTTTCAGAGTTTTCCTCCTGGTTAAACAAAAAGCTGAAGTACAAAGATAGGAGCCCTCCCAAGGGAAGTTTTGTGCTTGCCTGTGCAATGTGCCCTTTTTCCCCTCAGCACACAGAGTCTGAGGGAATGAGCCATATGGATGTGTAACCTCTGACAACCAAGATGTGCTCAGGTGATTCAGTGCTGCAAGTCCATAAAGAAAGGAAAACAGAAGCTACAGAAATCAGCATTTTTTCTGGGTTGGCACGTTTGGGGCAGTCTCTGAGTTCTGATCTCAGACTGACTGACTCGTACATTTGTCTCTCCCACATCACATGACAGAGTTTTAATGAAATAATATAACCAGGAGGCTTTACTGAAGAGGAAAAGTCCAAGAATTAAAAATGCTCCCTCTGTTTGGAGCAGAAAACACCCTTTTGTTTTCTCCTTAAGACTATGTGCTTGTTTGTCACTGATGTCATGCTTCAAACAGCCAGGAGTTTTCTTCCTATTCTTGCAGTCTACAAAAGCTGGTGTGTCTGTCAGTTCTGCAGCTCAGGATGTGCCACGTTGCATAAAAATAGAAATCCTGGCTGCTGCTAATGATCCAACAGTGTTTACCCATTTGTTTTCAATTTTAATCTCAGAACAGCAGTTAGTGAGTTGGGGAGAGCTGCATTTGGTCACAAGTGAAATGTCTCTCGTGATTTCAACTTAATCTTTAATTGACATCAGTCCACAGTTCAAAAAAATATTTGGCACAAGGGAGAACCTCTGAGGAGAATCCCTAGACAAACAGAGGGTGTTGCAGGTACGGATGGAGGTGTGCTGGCAGGTGTGTGTGGGATTGGCTGGACACAGAGCACTTGGCTCTCTCAGCCTCTGCGCTGCATGGATTGTCTAATGCTCAGTGCAAGTGCTGAACCCTCACAAAGAACCCGTCTTGCTGTGAGCCAGCTCCAAAGTGCTCCTGCCAGAGCAGCTGCAAGGTTTCCCAAAAGCATTCAGCTGCCTGCAGTTGGCATCTTCCTGCATGAGAAGTAACACAGATTCTTTTGGAACAGACACACAGGCCCTTTAACCACGGAGTTTCTTAGGAGGTTATTTCAAGAGTTCACCTGCAATACTGGTTTTTAACTTGAAAGTATAAACTGTAACCCTTGTGAAATCTTTAACTGTAATGCTGATCCTCTCTAACCCCGTGCCAATATCCAGTAGTCACAACAGAGTCCTGGTTTGTAGTTTTTAACATACACCTTCATCCTTCATTTCATTGTGTCTGTGCCTGTTTGTCTCTTGGAACAAAAACGTGCACTCTGCTCTGCATTGCTAGAAGTGGTCATACCTTGATGAAATCCAACCCAGGTTGCAGGCTGCCTCACAACAGGAAAGTGGTATCTTTTAGAAACCCAAAAGCCATTGAAACTGCTACAATAACTGTTTTTCCTAAACAAGAGTTTTTTCACTGAGGAGAGCTGTCTTGGGTGATGCAGATCCCCCTCTCCCTGTAAAGTGTCCTGTGTTGTATTCAAAGTAACCCCGTGTATCGTGTTTGCCTCTTTTCTTTTTAATGGAATGCTTTTTCTTTCCCTTACTCCAGTCTTATCTCTTCTGTGTCTGTACTTTCCTGACCAGGATCTTTACAGCCATAATGCCCATGGTAGCAGCTGGATTGATTCCAGACGATCCCACATTGCAGCCAATAAGAAGACTTGTGTCCCTTGTAGGAATTTTTTTTAAATGTTTGGTACTGTGGTTTCCTCTTGCATGACCCTGTGTTAACAAGCACTGCTGGTTGCATTCTCCTGGCTGCCAGTGGGATCCCAGGGGATCAAAGTGCCAATCAGAATGACCAGTCAGTGTCAGTACTCATCCCAGTCCTCCATGCTCATCCTCAAACTGACATTTTATCACCTTTTGCCTTAATGTTGCCATGCTAAACCAATCATTATTCCTTGGAAAATCGGTGCAATATGCAGTTCTAACCAGCATCTGTTAATTCTGCTTCCCAAGCAAGGCTATTCACAGTTCTCACCAATGCTTTTTGAGAAACTAGTTTCTAACAATTTGTTGCAATAATTAGTTAGAGTTACAGAATGGAGAGGCTGATTTCCACATTAATTTCCACTGTTAATTACAGGCTGTTGCTTTCATGTCTTTCTATCTATGCCCTGTATATTTTGTCTCTAATTATGTATTTTGGAATAGAGTGTAAACTCTTCATAATCAATTCTGTCATCCAATTCTTGGCTCTCCCTGGAAGACATACTGATAATTGTTAATGCAAAGTCTCTTTGCATTAGAACTGCTGCTTTAGTGATCTTTACATTTACAGCAATGACACAGTTTCCTCTCCACACAGGCTTTTTCCAAACATCCTCCATGAGAATTTTCTAGCCATAATAACAATTTTCATTGTTTCAGAAGGAATTAAAGAAACTGAACCCTTTAGAGATTTACAAACTTATTTTTTTCCTGCTAAATTTCCTGATAATTACTGAGCTTTGACATTTGAAACTGACTGTATAAACACAGCAGTCCTTTGTGTGGGCTTCCAGACAGTAACCCTGAGCAGGCAGGACCAAATGTGCTCTGTAGAAAAGCTCGGTCACTTCTTTTATCAGCTGGAGCTGGCTCTGGCCCTGAAAATACACATTATACGTGTGTGAACTTATGAGCTCCTGTGGTGAAGGTGGTAGAAAAATATGAGGCTAATTAAGTGCAAAATACTTATTTCACTATTAAGGCTGCACATTTGAAGCCAGGAAATGCAAAAGTTCAGGTCCTGCTGGCACTGTTATTTATGTGCATTTAAGTTGTGTAGCGGTTTATTTCCCTTTCTAATCAACAAGTAATTATTCATAATATTCTCAGTGTTTATCATCCAGCCTCCTGTGTATCGAGAGACATGGAAGGTGAAACTCCCTGGTCTGCACGAGGCAGCTGGGAGGGTTGGGATGGTGGTGCTGAGGGGGATGAAGGGAGAGTGGGAGGAGGGAGAACGCTGAGGAAGGTGAGCGTGGACTCAGGGCCAGGTTTATGCCCTGACCAATATTCCACCACCCAACAAAGCTGAGGTTATATTGGCACACCCCCTTACTGTGGAAGTATTTGGAATTCCTGTCCTGGATCACAATTGTGTGACACTTGGTTCAGTGCAGGCAAAACAATCTTCACCTCCTGAAGCCCACCCAGCACTGAGACCAAAGGGATCCACAGCCAACTCAGTGCTCTGGCAGCTGGAACCACAACTTTTGCATTTCTCAGCAGGCCTAAACACTGCACTAACACCTCTTGTACTGCACCCACAACAAACACTGAATTTGCCTAATCCAGTAACTTCATCCCATACAAATAAAATGATACTAAGGATTTTTCCAGCTGTATTTCTTAGCTGTATTAAATGGCTGTTGGTTCACGTACGTCATTATCTTAGAGCACCCAAGCTGTGTGACAGGAAATGACGTGCACACTCGTGTGCATTTGTTTAGAGCCTTCATCCTGCAAACTCTCATGCACATAGGTGCATTTATTCATTCATTTTTGCAGGAATCAAGTCTAAGTTTCAAAACATCTACACTGGGAAAAAATGTGGACACTTATTTTCTTATCTTGTAAACTTCCCTGCTGACAACCTTAAAAAAAATATTCTATTTCTGCATTGTGGTAAAATACACAGATTTAATGCCAAAGATACCACTTTACTTATGCCAAGAAACTAACCTGGATCGTGTGGCTTTGTTATCTGAGGGCTGGGGAAGGGGGAACCTACATCTAAATGATACCTGCACCTTGAAGAGTCAACAGCATTTAGAGCTTACCTGAAGCTTCTGTAGCCAAAACGCTTGAGATTGCAATGACTCCATCCCTAACAACATTCTGACATGCACTCCCATCAGGCTGCTCTGCCTTGATTTTCTGCAGATGCAAACAGAGTCTTTTGCTCGGTGTTTTGTCGTGCTGTGTATTGGGGTGGGTGTTTGAAGTGCTTTCAGGATGGTTAACACTCTTCTTTCTTTTCCCTCCCTCCCTCACTGCTCCCTTCCCGAAAGGTTTAGTTTCTTCTCTCGTGATAAGAAACGTATGCAGGCGTCACAGAAAAATGTCCACTTCCAGGAAACTTTTGGAGAATGGTCACATTCAAACAGAGATGACTCCTACATGGAACAAGGACAAGAAGCCCTGCAACACCTGTGACTAAAGCCCTGCGGTGTTTGGTTTGCTGCAGTAGATCTCGACAGGCTCGTAACAAGTAGCTTCTGTAAAGCATTGCGGCAGCTCCATCACTTTTACTCGCCTTGCACACCTCGGGGGTTATTTCAGACTCTCCAGAAGGGATCCCTCACTGTTCACTTGGTGACTGTTTGCTGCAAACAGGAACCCAAGCTATGTAGTAACAGTTGCTGACACCCTGGGACATGGAAGCTTCTAGATGACTTGTTTTATGCTGAATAACAAGTCTATGATCTCGTTCATGCATTAACTACAGTAACACAAGCTTCTTTAAACCAAAAAAGGACCTGTGCCATTATTAGAAGTTTGTTTGCAGTGTATATCTAGTGCAGGGCAAAGACTCTTTTACCCTGTTTGTTAACACTATTGGTTGTTTGCTTTTTATTTCTGTAAGAATTTTTTCAAGAGGGATTCGACAGCTGGACGCCCTTGGTGGCAGCCCACAGCTCTGCTGTGTCCTGTCAGTGCCACTGGCATTGGCATCTTGCAGAGTCACCCCTTGGAAATCCACCTGACACAGAGATAACTGGAGTAGCCTTGAGAGGGACAGTGAGTGTACATTTCCCTTGTGCTTATAGTGCCTAAAGCATGAAGAGCCGATGTATGAGGTGAGCGTGCCTTGTGGTCTGCAGTATTAATGAAAAACAAATTGCTTACAGGGAGGAATCCTAACTCTTGAATTTTTTCCCTTCTTACCAGGGACTTCCTGGCAGTGTAGCAGGCATCTGCTGTAAAGGGATTAGATCTTTCCCACAGACAGGTTTTTAATTAAGTCACTCTTCAGTTTCCTGTCTAGGTAAGACTGCCCAACTTCAGAGGGAAACACATCCTCAGCTGGCTGACATGAACTATTTCACTTACCTAGACACAACCCGAACCTTTTCTCTTGACTAAACACTATGTGGGCAGAACAGATGAATTCTGTGTGAGGCTGCTCCTCTGGTGGTGGCAGATGTCTGGGTAGCCCCTGTTACAGGGCTGAACTCGCCAGCAACAGCCCAGCAGCCAACCCCAGGAGCTGGATCTGCTTTGCAGCTGAGCTGGTGAGACCCCAGGCCTGGCCGAGGTTGTCCTTCCAACACTAAAACCCACACAGTGCCAGTGCACTCCCCACCTCTCTCCACACACTCCAGGAGGAAGCCAGCAGGTAGGAGAGGGTGTATCCATAGGAGAGGGTGCATGTATCCATGGCTTCACCTGAGGACAGGGCTGAGGTGTCTCTGTGGCCTTGGCTGTGGGCTGGGGAGGTCCATGCTGGAGAGCACTGCTCATGGGGAGGATCTCATGCCAGCAGGGCCATGGGCAGCTTCTCACAAGGACAGGAAATACAGCTCAGGCTGGAAAAAAGCTCCAACTACTCCAGGCACTGAGTGCAGGAGGAACTCTCAAAGGACTCCAGAGAGATTAGTGCTGGCCAGTTGTTTTTAATACAGGGTGATCCAAGAGTGGATTTTTTATTTTGTGTGAGCAGTAAATGGTTCTTAGCCCATCTGTAGTAAAACCCTGGCAGTAAAACCTCTCCTTGCAGTGGTGGGCTGTGTGCTGCCCTGCTCCTGGCTGTAACTGCTTCATTCCAACACGGACCTTCTGTGTGTTCTAGGTAGGGAAAGTCTTTATTGTGCCCCCTGGTGTCACTGCAGCTTGGGGCAGGGGGAACATGTGGCCTTTTATGAGACCCAGTGACCAGAGTCCAACATGGGTATTGGGTAGATGTGGTTTTGCCTGGTTATGTTTTCGTAACATCCTTAAAACAGCAGCATTTTCCCCCTCCTGTTAAAAGCAACTCTTAAATGGGGGGAGTGTCTTAATTTAATGATACTTAAATTAGCAAGATCTGGCTTCACTTCCATATGAGAAAACAAAAAGTGCAGTACAGTCACATCAGGCAGTTAAATTATGGATGACCCCACTGAGTCTGTCCCGAGTGCAGTTCAGTCGTGTGGCTCATTCAGAAGGGATGCAGTGAGCAGAAACAGCGCCAGAATGTGGGCCTGAGTAAGCAGATCCCTTTGGAAATCAGCTGAGAGCAAAGAGCTGGGATAATGGAACTGCACAGACCCAACCCAAGCCAGTGCAGCACAAAGGAAATCTCCAGTCCTGGCGCACGTACAGCGGAGCCCAGGGCTCTGTCAGGCCAGTTCTGCAGCCAACAGCAAACCCCTGCACGAGGCAGGAGAGCCTTCCCCCATCTCTGCACCCATTACCTCAACCCCTCGTAGCCCCTCCTGACCTGCTGGCATTAACCACTCCTTCTCATGTTTGCAATGCTGCAGCCACACACCCCAAGTGCCGTCGGGAAGGGTGGCGCGGAGGGAAGCATTTGTAAAGATCTGAAGATCTGTCATGTATTGTTTGTCAATATTCAAGGAAAATCTGCTTTTAGAAAAGGGGCCAGGATGCTGGCAGGTAAGGGGTGTAACAATCCTGCCTGCCAAGTGCAGGATCACTGACATTTTTTGGGTTGGTTTATTTTTTTTTTTTGGTTGGGCAGTAAATAATTTTAACGGTTTAATAAATATTTCTGAAAAACACCTATTTCTGCAAGACTTGTGTCCTTTTTTTTTTGTGGAAATTAATAGTATCCATTCTTGGGGATGCAGCCTATGGATCTGTCTGTGTACAATTCTTGATGTAAATACAGCCTCAAAGCAGACAAGGTTTAGGACAGAGTCATTCCAAGACTGACAAAACACAATTTAAAATACATTGTATATTTAGGAATGGCTTATGATGACAAAGAACATGACAGAGCCTTTTCTAGAAAGCACTGTAAACTCCTTAATGGAAGAGGTGTGTCTGTATTTATATATCCTAGCCCTGGAAAAGATATTTTGCTTTCAGTTTCCCAAAATTCAGCTACAACCAGTAGCAAACCCAGTTTCCAGAATGGATTTAAACCCTGTGTAGAAGGGTGAGGATAGAGTGGGTGCAGCTGCAACCACATTTACCCGTGACACCCTCCTTCAGTGACTGTCCATGGATTCATCAGGATCATGAGGCATTTTCTGACGTGCTGACTGGAGCACATTCCTCTGTACAAAGGAGTCTCATCCTCCCATGTCATAGACAATGGGTTGGTTCCATGTTTCTCTCTCACCAGGCAGAACAAGTTAAGGACAGAGTATCAATAAAGGTCTTGCCTGTCCCAGTGTCTTCACAAAATTGAAGCCACTTCCCATCAGCTCCTGTTTTGTGGCACAGAAGTTTCAGTTTGCTGCTATTCCATTCCTGTGTCTCCACATAAGGAACACATGGACATCTGGCCCACAGATAACCCCTCACCCAGGCAGCCAGACAAGCCGTGTGCTCAGCTCAGTGGAATGCCTGTGCATTTCTTACAGCACCCACCAATTCAAAAACATTAATACAAAAGTTTATTTTCTCTAAAGAACAATTCAACACACATCTGAACTGCATTAGGAACCAAACTACAGAGAGCTGCTGGCAGCAGTCACAGGCGCAAGGTGGCAACACCACAGCTTGTTCTGGGAATGCTGTGAGCTGCCATAAGGGTAGGTCACACACACCCAGGACAAGGCACGGTCACCTATCGGTGCTTATCATCATCTCTTTGCTTCTTGCTGTCCCTGTCCCTGCTCCGGTCTCTATCCCTGTCCTTTCTGTCTCTGTCCTTCCTTTCCCTCCCCCTGCTCCTCTCCTCTTTGGAGTCCCTCTCTCTCTCACTGTCGCCCCAAGCCCACGACCTCTCTCTTTCTGGCCAGCGTTTGTCCCTGCTCCTCTCATGGTCCCGGTCCTTTGTTCTCCAGTCCCTTGTTCCCTCACGAGACCAGTTTCTTTTCTCTGATGATCCTTCTCCATAGAAATCATTTTTCATGTTTGGCAAATTGATGGGCTTTCGGAAAGGTCTGTCCCGTCCTCCGAACCGCAGCTGCCCGGATTCTTTTTTGCCTCCAAACCCACCCCCAAGCCTCCGGGGAATCCATCCTTTGAGAGTTCTTTCCAGTTCAAAGTCTACAAAGATCTCATGTTGGTCGATGACCAGCCTGTTGGCATCCCTGTGGGCCTTCAGGAGCGCACGCTCCTCTTTGTACTCAATAAACGCGTACCCCTTGGAAAATCCTGTGACCAGGTCTCGAACCAGACGGATCTTTCTGATGTCTCCATAGCGGGAAAAAACCTCCTTTAACTTCTCTTCTGTGGTCTGAAGATTGAGCCTCGCCACGAAGAGGGTGAGGTGAGGATCTCCCGTGATGCCCTTGTTGGGTACATACCGTGCCAGCATCGCCCGCCATATGGCCCGGTCGTGGGGCTCCTCGTCCGTGCCATCGATGCTGCCAGCCTTGAGGGGATCGTACTCCTTCGCTATGGGGGCCCAGTCAGCCATTGTCTGGTGGGGGAGAACACACACGGCACAGGCTCACAGCCAGAAGCGCTTCCAGCACCACTGCACTGCGTGCTCATCCAAAAATCCCCCAAAGTGAGACACACGAAAATGAACCAGCCGCGTCGCTGTTGGTTGAGTCCACGTGCCGGGACAGAGCCGTGTCGTGGAGCTGGATCCTCCCCTGGCCTACCCCGGCCTGAGGGGCCCCGGCCTTCCCCTGCGGGCCCGGCCCGGCCCGAGGAGGCCCCTCAGCCCCGCTCCCTCCGCCGCCTGTCCCCTCACCCGCCCGGTGCGGCTCTCCCGGCGGGCAGGGGCCGATCCGCCGGGCCGGAGGAGCCGCAGCCGCTCCCACCGGGGCTCATTTCAGCCCCGGAGCCCGCCAGTCCCCCCGCCTTGCTCCCGGAGCCGCCGAGGCGGACGTGGCGCTGCGGAAAAGCCGACGCGTTCACCCGCCTCGGTGCCGGTTCCCGGGGCTGCCGGAGAGCCTCCCGTCTCTTACCGGCAGCGGAGAGCAGGCGGTGTCTCCTCAGGGGAAGGGGCCGGGCGGGAAGCGGCGCGGGGCCGCAGCCGCCGCCATGGGAGCGCCGGGGGCGGGAGGGGCCGCTCCGCCCGCGGCCCCGCCGGCAGCGCCGCCCGGGCCGGCTGGGAGGGAGCGCCGGAGTGCGGCGGGCATGGAGCGGGGCCGGGACGGGGAGGAGGAGCTGGAGGAGGAGGATGAGGAGGAGGATGGCGGCCCGGAGAGCGCTCTGGAGAAGAGCCCGTTCCAGCTGACTGCCGCGGATGTCTACGACATCTCCTCCGTGGTGGGCCGGGACCTGCTGCAGCTCCGCGCCGGGCCGCAGCTGCCCGCTGCCCGCGCCCGGCTGCAGTTCAGGATCGTCAGGGTGCTGGAGATGCTGGAGGCGCTGGTGAGCGAGAGCAGCGTGGCCGAGGAGCAGCTCCGGCGGGAGCGGGACAGCCTCCGGCGGGAGCTGGAGCAGCTGCGGGCGGCGGCCCACGGGAGCGCCCCGCAGGTGGGTGCGGGACACGGCCGGGCACAGGGGACACGGTCCGGCACAGGGGACATGGCCCGGCACAGGGGACACACACGGGACACGGGTCCCTTCCCTAGCACGGGCACACCACGCGCGGGTCGCGGAGCGCACCCAGAACCACACCAGATGGGCCGGCCGATGTTTGTGGTCTCTTTTGTTTCAGCAGGACGAGCCTCACAAAGTCACTTCCCGTCTTTGGCCATGAAAGCCTTGAGGCGCGTTCCTTCGAGGTGGTTACGGGTCGCAGCGCTGTGGATTCCTCGCTGCAGTTTCACTGCAGTGACTGACCCAGCAAAGTTGTGCAGACACGCACAGAGTTCAGGGTACAAACCCACCGTGTTCAGCTCTTGCACAGCACCGGCACCATAGAGACAACTGTATGCAAACATTGGTGTGAGGGAAATGGATATCTTGATTACTACAAAGGTTTTAGAATTTTAGTGTGGCATTAGATGGCTCAGCCTCCCTCATCATCTGAGAACAATCTGATAACAGCATCTTCTTGACAACTAAATTGCAAACTCTTTGGGACAGAGACTTTGCTTTTAACTGTGGTCAGAGCCTGTCACAGTTGTGGCCTATGCTTGGCTGGGGAACACAGTCATTAAGGGAATACAAAAATATGAAGAACTATTATTAACTGCTTGGAAAAAAAATAAATCAGGATAGTGATAAATTCATACTAGTTCTAAAAATTCCATATTTATAAAATCCAGATATTTTACTCTTTGAATGCTGAGTTTTTTGAGAGGTTACAAGATCTTCTGCTGTTAATTTTACAGCCCAGCCTTGGACCAGATCAAATGGTAATAGACCTCACAGACCCCAACCGGCCCCGGTTCACATTACAAGAGCTCCGAGATGTATTGCAGGAGAGGAACCAGCTGAAAGCTCAGCTTCTGGTGGTGCAAGAGGAGCTACAGTGCTATAAAAGGTAAAGCTTGAAGTCAGCAGAGAACAAACACTCATAATAACAAGTGCTTCATGTCTGGGAAGCTTCTCAGGTGAGAATCTTGCAGGTTTGGGCCCCTAGGTCAGGATAGGCACTGTCCAGGCATGTAAGTGACCAAAGAAAAGTGGGGGAGCAATGAAGTCTCTATGCAGCATGATTTAAAAACCAAACTCCCTTTTCCTCTGCACAGTTCTCAGCCTGTTCCCATAATTGTCCCACTCAGCCTACGCACAGTTAACTCCCACTCCACATCCAGGCTGGCTTCTCGTGCACAGGAATTCATCTGTGCAGTCACAGCAGTTGCACGCACACTGTGTCTAAAGCCACACTACATACCAAAGAGCACAGGGGGTTTCCAGCTCAGCTTTAGTTGAAGTTTCCTTCCTCCTGCAGCACGATGCTGGTTGCTCTCCGCTCCTTCACTCCCACGGGGGTATGGCACTGATCTAGAAACAGAATATTGAGCTCTTTCATCGTTCATGATCAACTGTGGGGTTTTTAAGACTGCCAACAGAGGCCCTTGAACTGTGCAAAGAGGTGATTTCAGAGAAGGGTTTGGGTTTTGTTCTAGGGAGAGTCAGTGTGAGTCAAAGGGTGGGATGTGGGAAGGGTCTTGATCTTGGTGCTACAAATTAATTCACCCCAACTTCTGCACCCTCTCATCAGGTTGGATTATAAACTCTTTGGGTCAAGAAATTCCTTCTTAATCTAGAGACAAAATATCTGAGCACATTAGATTTCAGTTGGGATATCTCAGCAGCACCCTCCTGGATACAGGGAACCTGCCCTTTGCCCTGTCTGTAACAGGCAGGTTAAGCCAAGAAGTTACACTTAAATCCAAGAATTTACAAACTGCCCCAGAACACTTCCCCAGCTCAGCTGGATGCTTTGCGGAGCAGCAGTGGAATGGCCTCTTGCTTTGATTTCCAGCTGTTACACAGTTTAGTGCAGGCCAAGTTAAAAATGTAACAGTAGGAATAGTTTCAGATTTTTAATGATTTGAGTCACAGTGCTGTGCAACAAGAGCAGGGCAGGGCTGCTTTCCAGGTCCAGTAATTTGTGAGGTTATCTCCTCATACAGTGTTACAGCTTAAGCCAAAACCCATTTTCCCCTCTAAACGGTCACATAAAATCCTAATTGTAATTGTAGTAAAGAGTAATTATGCAGAAGAGGATAAATATATGTTCTAAAATGCCTTGTACGCATTGGAAATAAGCACTGTATTACACAAGGTAACAAACATGTCAGAGACTGGCTCCAAGTGACTGGTGGTGTTTGGGGGCTGCATTTTTCATCATGGTCTCTGGGTAGAAATTACCATGTGGATGTTGAAACTCTGCAGTGTCACCCAACAGCTCTTTGTGTCATTTGTCCAAGAGGAGAGTCTGCCTCAGAATTACCCCGTGATGGTGTCACACCAGTTTTTAAGTGCTCTGTGTTTTTATTTCTGAATCCAGTTGAGTGTTGCTTGGCTACTCTTTGCCTGCAGCTACTGCAGTCACAGGCTTTGATCCACTGAGCTCTCCAAAGGACTGAGGTCAGCTCAGGACACGCTGTGAAAACACTGAGTGTGCAGGCTGGGAAAATCTAACCCCTTTCCAGGCAGGGAAAACACGCTTTGGTCAAACTGAAACTGCTGCCTGGAGTAGGTGGTTATAACTTCTGGAGTGTAGAGACACTGAAGTAGGATGGCAAAACCTACAGCTGAGGCAAAGCCTTTCTTCTCTTCTCTGTAGGGTGGAAAGAGGAACAGGCACCTGCCTTGCAGGGGAGTTAGGAATCTCCCATCTGTTCCCAGGCCTGGTGTGAGCCTGGGTGGCTGCGCTGGAGGTACCACACATCCACCCCTGCAGAAGTTCACCGTTTGTGTCCACACCCTCCTTCTATCCTTGGATTTCTGCACAAATCCAAGTGCGATTATACTTCCCTTTCACCCTCATTATGATTTGCCATTTTTTCTCTGTGGAGAAGTCAGTTTGCTACTTTTCTCATTAAAGCATAACCCTGGCACCATTACACTGCTGTATTTAGGGATAATAATTCATTATTTTCAGTTCACTACAAGGAAGAGAGGCTGGGCTGCCATCCCTGTTCTGTGAACATTCATTCACCCATGTCCCAGCTGCCCTGTGAGTGGTCTAACTGTCACATTCTGCATAAACCCACAAAAAAAATAAACAAAACCATTTCCTTTGCCAGTGGGATCATCTCACAGAAAAGGGACCAAACTGAAGAACTGGAAAAAGAAGTCAGTGGCAGAAGTGGTGGCACCAGCAAGGACAGTGAAGAGAAGACAATCATCAAACGTCTGTAAGTTTGTCTGCAGATTTTGGGGCAGAATTTGTAAGAATATGACCCACTGTGTGCAGTGAAGCCAGGGATGGATGCTGAACTTTAGCCTAGTTGGCTGGATATTGTTTTCTGCTCTCCACGTAAAGTTAAAAACCTGATAAAGCAATCTCTTCCTGGGGAAAAAGCACTGCACAGGAAAGCAACCTCCACCCAGGCAAGCAGGGAGTCACTTTTTTTCCTAGGAAAAACAAGCATTCCTGAGAAAAATGATTCAATACTTGCCTCCCCTGCCAGCCCCTCAGGGCTGTGCTGTGGGAGCACCCTGGCTGGCCCCAGGCTTTGTATACATTGTACACAAAACCCACAACTCAGGGTCTGTCCCTAAAGTCTTCCCAAAATAGCACACTGACAGGGGCCAGCCCCCTGCCTGTTCCTTGTTTCCCAGTTGTACATTATTGTTTCCTTTCTGCTATTGATTTTTTCCCTTTTATTTTAGGTTTTCTTTTAAACATGGAAAATGAGCATCCTCAAGGACTTAACTGCTGCTGGTGAGAATGGCACTGATGAGCCTCAGAGGCGTTGGGAAAGACAATGATTGGAAGCAGCAGCATCACTCCTGCTGTAGAGAATGAGCAATCTCATTAACATCATGTTGTATAATATTCTTTCAGAACAGATTTTACTCTGCTTTTTCAGAAACTGTTTCAGAAACAATTTTTGTATTTCTTACTGTCAGACATGTAGAAAATAAAATGTTTATACAAAGCTGGTGTTTATTCTTATTAAGAGAGCTTGTGATGATCTGTACTACAGCATACTGACCCTGTCCAGCTATCAAAACATTCAACACAAATGATTTCAGAAGATGAAGATAAGTTAAGAGAGACATACCATTCATAAGTGGTTGGTTGGGGGCGAGATGAATGGTGGAGAAAAGCACAGCAAAGGAAGAAAAGCAATTGGGCTCTGCCCACATGAAGGACTGAGGTGCAGGCAGTGCTCAGACTGGAACAGATGCACCAAACATTTCATTTCTGACTGCTGAAAGTCTCCTGTGGTAGGCAGCTGTGTTTTGCATAAGCTCTGTTCTTTCAATCACCTGCCACAAGCTGTGTATTGGCCCCAGTAATGAGATTTAGCACCAGTGGAAGCATATAGGGCAAACAGAGGAGTGGGAAAAGAAGCTTGAAAGACACCAATTAGGTTCTCTATTTAGAAAGGTAGAATATCCAGAGCAGAGAAGTCTGAAGAGACATAAAAGAAGCAGTGACAGGTATCAAACTGTGATCTTACTCTCTTCAGAAATAAAAGCAGGCTCTGAAGTCTTTTGATTCCCTCTCCTACACTGGCAGCATGAAAAATATAGGACACTTCACACATCTGCTCAGCTGCACAATGTGAATGTGGCTCAGCAGAAGACAGAGCTGCAACCTCTCTTCTGAGGTCAGGAACAACTGTCTGTTAGCAAGGCCACACCACAGATGGCTGACCTGAGCCAACTGGTTCAGCCAGGACACAGAACCACTGGAGTCCTTTTGCCATCTTCAAAATATCAATAAGCCTTGGCCATGCCCTCATTGTGTATTTTCTAGAGCATGGCAGCAGGGAAGGCAGTTACTGCATTGCTTGAGCAGAGGCTTTGTGCACAGAAAAATTAAACAAAGAAACAAACAATCAGCGACAGCCAGGATGTGCCCCTGAGCTCAAGAGAGATGCTTACATGTGACCTGAATTCCATCCTCTTCCATGGTTTATCCAGGGATGTATTTTCCAATCTCCTTTAAAAAAAGCAGTTTAGCTCCCAACCCAAGGGTATCTTTCCCTGACACCTTGTTAGGAGATGAAACCTTCCTGTGAGGCACAGAGGAAGAAAAAACATCCAAATGACACATTCCTGTGAGAATTACATTGAGATTGAGCTATAGATCTCTATAGGTGTTCCTAGAAAAGTAAAGAATACATATGCAGTGCAACATGAGCTTTATTTCCATCCTCCAACGCAGTGCTACTCAATTACCAGTTAAGCTTTCAGAGAAGACATTTTATGTAAAACAGGGAGATCTTTCCCCTTTCTTGTTTACAAAAGTGATGCTGAAGTACAGAGGTTTTAAGCTATTCAACCTGATAGAGAACAAGTAAATGTTTAAATAAAATAAACCAAAAAAAAAATTTCCAATTTTGACTTAAGGGAAGTGCTCTAGTTTAACAGGACATGTACACATTACTGAGGTCTCTGTTACTGAGACCAGAAAAAAATCTGTGCCAACTCAGACAAGTTGACCAACAAGGCTTACCTGAAACTCAGTACATGTAACAGGTCTCCAGTTAATTCTTCAGAAATGGGAAAATACCCAGGCTTGCTCTGACGAGTTTGCCTTGTGTGAAGCAGTAAATAATATAAGGCATTTAATAGCTAATGATTTTCACAGCTTTCTTTCAAAATGCTCATGAACTGCAATGGAGACAGGTAGTATAGCAGCTGTTTCATCAATAATAAATATATTCTTTATTTTACAGAGACATTGTCTTCAAGTTTTTAATTTAAAAAATACACCACTAAGCCACCTCTCTTGCTGCTGGAGCACACCACCAGGATGTTGTTGCTATCTGACCTATCACATAGGCAAGCATAAGATTGTCTAGAGGGCATTCAGCTGGAACAGCAGCAGCCTTCAAGACATGAGGAACAGAAGACATTAACAGAGCCACAGATCCCTTGCTGACATCTTCCAGCAGCAAGCGTGGCTGATGGCTCACAGCCATTTTCATCTACACACATGCCAAGCCTGCCTTGGCAAAAATTCCAACTGGTAAGAATTCATCTTTAACATAAAGGACCTGCATTGTATTGCCTGCCTATATCCCAGATTTGGCTCTCCAACAGTAACGTTCCAAACATCCACGAGATGCCAAGAGCTCGACTCCCCTGTGAGACAGTGGGACCAGACCATGCTGGACAGACCTACAGGACCAGGCAATAAGGAATCTACTTTCTTCACTGCATGAACTCCATCACTACAGTTTGAAGCTGCATATGAAGATGACTCCTATTTTCGGAACCACTATGCTCTACTTCAAGCATTCACAGTAAATAAATAGCTTCTGATGTGGCTAATTAGCATAGGAAGGTAATATAAAAATTTTTGGAGAGAGCTTTTACTTCTTTAAAATCCTCTGGGAGACACCTCCAAGAATCAGCCATCAACTATAAAAACGGTACCTTCTCAAAGTTTAGAAAACAAGTAAATGTCAAACATTGATTCTCATTGTGAAGTTCTATCTTCACATCTGTAATCAGTATCAACCCAGTCTATCAAGATTCATCCTCATTTGGCTGGGAGTCACTTCTCCAAAGGAAACAGCCAATCCAACCATCCTTTTCCCTCAGTGCCAGTGCATTTGAAGTTCACTGCCAACAGAATGTATGACATAGGAGAAACTGGATTCCTACCACAAATTATTTGAGCATCAATCTCAGAGAAGCCTGTCAGCACTGGGCTGTGAAAAGCAGTCTGACAGGCAGTCAAGCCACTGAATGACCAAGTCAGAGTACAGCAGTACTTCTGTCATAAAGCCAAGTTCACCACCCCAAAGAGGAGCATGAGATTTCTTTGCAAAAGCAGAAGCACAATCCCAGTGATTAAGTTTCTGTGCAAGTCTTTCACTACTCAAGTGGCACTGGTCACTATGCAGAAGCATTCAAATTTTAAGGAGGGTTTTCCTTTTATGATAGAAAAGTTTTGGCAATCTAAGATCAATTATTCAAGCCTGCCTGGAAAACTGTAATAGGTATTTAAATACTGCAAAGCAAAAAGGCAGTTTTTAAGGAGCTTGGAAGACCATAAGCCATCCACTAAGAAAGCTGAGAGAAGTGAGGGCAGGAAAACAAAATTCACTGACTCCTTGTAGAACACTCAGTCCAAAAATAAAAACCCCAAAACAAGGAAGATGAATTAGTGTTTCAGCCATGGGTGAGCTTCTATGGAAGCTTTGCTTCTGTCTCCATAGTCGTACAACAGTTCTTCACCTGCCTTAATGTCCCTGGAAGCTATGAGGATGAGATGAGGCACACCATCAATGTCGTGGAGCTTGGTCTGACAATTGCCACACTTGCTGTGATTAATGAGCCTTCCCAGACGATTCGTTTCTTTCGTAGCATCAACACTGAAAGAGCAAGAACAGAAGGCGGGATTGCGCCTGGGACAGGGGCACGTTTGTGGACAAAGCCCAAAGTGCAAATCAGACAAAGGAGGAATCCACACAAGTCTTGAAAAATTAAGGAGAAACAGAACATTATCATGCTACATCACAGAACAATCATGATTAAATAGATAGCCACAATATGGCAAGGCAGGGAAACTGAAACAACTTTGGGAGATTTTTAAGTTAGCACAAAACCCAGAAATCAAAACCTTTGGACTGTTTGAGCTGCCTGTTTCCAGGAATAGCAGAATCTAGATGTGAAACAAATTATAAAGCTTGAACTGAAGTGGGTGTCAGAGACTGGAGAAACAAGGACACCCAGTCAAAGTCAGTCCTTCCTTGCTTTCCAAACCAACTCCTTGCAACTCAGATAAAGGAGTTCATTTTACAAGAGGATAAATTTAGGCAGGAGACCACTGCAGAACTACAAGCCTCATCCAAGTAGACAGAACAGGGCTTTGGGTCACCTACCATTCCTCATAGCCCAGACATATAGGAGGCTCTCAGACCATGGATCAATGCTCCAGAAGATTTCATAATTCACAGTTCCCATTAAAAACAAAAAAATTTGCATGAAAACAAGAAAAGAATCAGCAGCATTCAAAGCCTCTGTTGATGGAAACCTGAGCTTACCAGTAGGTTTTGCTGAGGTACTGGAAATAGTACATGTAGCAGCCTGTGGACGGGTCTTGAGCATACACAGCCTCTCGTTTCTTGGCATCAGTGATCTCGATGAGATCCCCGTGATATTCAACCACAAATTCTCCTCGATTAAAATGTTTAGTAGCAATTACTCCTCTCCCTTTGCCATCGATGTAATCAATCTGTTGAGTTGAAGAGAAAATACTTTCTCATTTCCCAGCTGATTTACATCATTGCAGATATGCTGATTACTAGGAAATGATTTGTCATTAAAAAGATGCTGTAAAAGGGAATTTGTGTGTACTGCAGACAAAAGCTGCAGAATGAAGCAGATAGAAGCACAATGCTTGGCACTGTGGAAGAAATGCAGGATGAGTTTGGGACACACTCTCAGTTACTGGGTAGCTGGACACAGTGTCTTCCAATCAAAGAACTTAGGAGTGCATTTCTGTGAAGACCTTAAAGCCTCCTCAGTATTTATAACTGAGACTGCACATACACATCCTTCAGAGATCAACACTGCTCACTGAAAAGGAAGGACTGTGTGTTCCAGTTTTCTTGCAGTTTCATCAGAGAATCACAGGGTCCCAAGACTGAATTCTGGTATTCTCTGTTTACACAGATTAACATCAAGATACTGTAAAATAAACAGTACATGACTACTTAGGTTGGCACTGCAGTTACCTTCATTCCTTCTTCTTTCCCACTTGTAATCAGCTCATCTATTTTCCTCCTTTCCTCAGTCTGCAGAATAAACAAGAACAAACAAAACCACAATGTTGTTGATAGCTTTTGTAGCTATTATTCTAGAGCTGGAAGGAAATAACCAACCAGTGATACTCATTGTTCCAAACCATCTCATATTTCCAGCAAACTGGATGGCAG